ATGTTTCAATATTCTATCAAAAGGTAAAAAAGTCCAAAATTTTCGATTTGGCACTTCCGTATTTTTTATGATAAAAACTAACAAAAATCAAAAATTGACATCAGTTTTCAATTTTTGATTTTAAATGAAAATTGAATGGACGAATGACGCACGGACCACGGTATCGGTGTTTGGAGTTTACCATCTTGAAACGTACGTGACCAATATTTGGTAAAACCACAATAAATTACTCGCTGGAGTTCAGGATCAAAATATTACGTTCCTCACAAATGACTATGAAGCAAAATTTAGACAAATAGCTGTCTCTGAATCAGTAAGAATTAGTCACGGGCAGCATTTACCTCCAAAGTTTTTTTCAGTATGTGCTTTTACTGTATGCACGGGATCTCAATATGTCTCGTCTGACATGTAATGCGTTATTTGTCTCGTTTATGCAGATTTCACTTCGTGGGAGCCACTTTCGGTCCGCATGAATTGATTAGGAATTTAAAACATTTGTCTACCAGTACTGTAATTTTAATTCTCCGAAAACTCTTCACTTGCCCTTCAGGCAAGTTAACCACAGAATCCACTAGCCCGATCGCAAAATCCACTAGCCCCGGGCTATCGGACACGACTTTCTTTGCACGCTGCATCAGATCGTGGACTTGAAGTGATGTGAAAACCTGGCGCAAGAATATTGGACTGAAAGACAGTTTAGTAGTACAGTATTTTTTATTCTTATCCCGATTCCCAAAGCGTAAAGTGATGTTAAGTATTGCAACTCTACCCAGAGAAATATGAAATGAGATGGCATATCACAACAGCCTGCCCCTAGGTGTTACGTCAGATTTCAACAACCTCCTTCCCAGGCTCTTTTCTCTTAATTCTTCGGAGCTTGGAACAGGCTGAGTTTCCGCTTTTATTTCTCGTTTTTGCCAATTTTCCACTGGTGATAAAGGGACACTATGAAGCAAATCAGCGGTTTAGCTTTCAAAATAATTTATATTTTCGGTTGGATTCCAACACTTTAAAAATGTTAAATGGTCACATTTTGTTGCGTCTGCAAGATCTTAGAAGAGAGGTAGGGGTTGTGTGTTCCTGAGCACGTAGAAGACTGCATATTTTTAATAAAGGCGCGAGCGCAAGTCATTGCAAAATTACGACCCTTCTCTTCTCACCCGTTACTTTCACATACATCCGCTGATCTAAAATACCCTGATCAAAAATAGTCCCTATTCTGCAAAGCTTGAGCCCGTTTGAAACGATTTGGTTTTAATTTAAAGTACCTGGTACCATCATCCCTGTTGTATCACTAAAGTTATATAAATTACCTGATCCTGAAACATTGATTTTCAACATAGAGTTTATTTAGTTTTTGTTGTTCAGATGCGTCTCGTACAGTACGCAAGCGCAATGGGTCTAACAAGTAGAAATATTTATATATATATATATTTTACATTCCACACCTATTGTAGCAATGTCTATGTGCCTGAGCGGTTTAAGACCCTAAAGCGAACTTTCCCGGTGAACGTTTGATAGAAAAAATGTCGAATTTGTAAACGTTAACAAGGACACAACTGACCCAGTCCTGGCTGATGGATATGTCTCAGTATTTGTTCTTCTAAAGGGAATTACACAGAAATTAAGTATCTGGAATAAGGTGTGCTTAAATTCTGGGATTCTGAACGGATAAATTATCATGTTCACAAATGAATTGCTAAACTGCAAAAATTTGATAATAAATAGTGTTAATGGAAATAGGTGAAAATTTTCCGTGACTTTCAATATAAACAAATTATTTAGAATTTGAAAAGGAAGCCAGGTAAAAAGCGATGTTCCTGTTAAGAGAGCTAGCGTTTTCGCCAATTTGACTTCTCTTTTGATATGATTCTGGGTGCGAAATGGCGATTTCTGCTTCTTCCAAACAACAAAGTTTGCTACACATATAGTTATTAGAGGGATTCCAGGAATTAAAACAAGACAATAAAAGAAATGCTCCCTCCCTATCATATTAAATATCCGTAACACCACTAAAGTAGTAAATATTGCCGCTATGATCCACGGTATGCTAATAGCGCAGACGTAAACACGATAGTTCACAGTTCTGTGACGAAGAGGCCAACCGACGGCGAACATTCTTTCCAAGGAAATGACCGCAAGAGTGTAGATGGACGTTATGCCAGTGAAAACATCAACACTGATAGAAATAACGTACCATGTATATCCCTGTGATACAACTACTTTTATATAAAAAGGGACAGCGAAAATTCCCACCAGCAAATCAGCAACTGCCAAGCTCATGAGAAGTGAGTAAGAGCGTTTTTGGCTTCTCTGTTTGAAGAATATCCAGATGGTGAGAATATTTCCTGCAATAATCAAAGTCACCAATACACCAAAACATATACCCCAGAAGATGTTCCATGAGTTAAAATCCATTCTGCTGGGCACTGTTTTTCTTTTGACCTGTCATGAAAACAAACCTTTGCCATTAAATCTGAACGGTAGAAAATTTGTGGGAGCAAAAATACCTTGGTAAACGAGCATTTAGTATTTTTTTAAACGACATTCTTTTCTTTCTGTAATTTAGAATCAAGTTTAAAATGCTTTTTATATCGTTAAATAGAGAAATCAAACTGTCCTAAAACAAGAAACGTTAAGTTCAGTCGGGTGACGGTCCCCGTAGGGGTGAAAGTGTTCAAATCAAACTACTGTAACATGTCTCCAGCTCTGACGAAGGGCTAACGTTAGAAAAGTCAGATTTAGAAACTTTTTACTGAGGCCAGTTTCCATGATCAATTTAATTGAGCGGTTAACTGTAAATTATCTTACTAGAACATGATAATGTTTACAGCTCAGGAAATCCAATCTTAGCGGAGGTTCGACATAAAAAAAAAAACAACAACAAAAAAAAACATCGGAAGTCCTCTTTATTCCTATTTATACAAATGGTTATCCATGGTAAGTGGTTGGATCGTTGTTCGTTTCCAATCGCTTTTAAGGACCCACTAACTCACTGGTGACGGTAGTTTCCTTATTTTCAAATGTTGAAACGACCAGGGGACGAGACATCTGTCAGAACCAATTTGTCTCACAAAAGTTATACAAAAACACACAAACCAGTAAGTCACAATGTTCAACACGACTTCTTCGCTCTTAACTAAGTTAAGAGCCTACACAATTTTGGTTTCTGATAAAATTTAAAACACAAAGTTTTCATTTTTACAATGTAATTTGTTTCAACATGACACCGGTAGTTTCTTATAATTTCCACTGGGCTTTTTCCCCGGAAAGTAGAACGCGGTTGGCGCCAGAAACTGACCCCATTTGCACGTGCCTTAGTTTCGACCTCTGTGTTGTTCCAAATAGCACTATATACTTTTACATTTTTTCTCTATGAGGAAAAAAAGGAGTATAATGAAGCTGTCAACTTCAAGGCTTCTCTCGAAGTGGATCTCATTAACGTCTAATTCCTTTAAGCATCACGCAAGTTTTATTATTAATACAAATACACCAGTTTGCTTTTCTAGAACATACACATTCTTTAACAAGAAAATATTTTGAATTTTGATTACTCATTCTTCATCTGCTTACCTTTTGTAGAATGGTTAAAATGTAAGATCTTCTGGATGTATTCTTGACTCTGGTGCAGCAGGGAACTGTCGAACTGAGCCGACTGTAAAACGAAACTGAGAAAAGTAAACTGTCTGGATAATGTTCGCTTTGGGAAAATTCAAGGGGGGGCGTCAATAAAATTGATTGCTATGCTTACAGATGTGAACAAGCTGTCACTTCTTTACGATAGCGTGCTCAATTATTGACTTAATGTGGAGGCTATTAAAACGTCATGTTAAATATAGTCTCTTTTAATTCGTCCAGCTGTTTTTTGTCAGCTGCTATGGTTTTTAGAGGGGGGGGGGGGGGGAATGGGGGTAGAAAAAATTTAAAAGAAAACAAACTTTCGTCGGAATTTCACAATAGGAGAAAATTAACAAGTTGATGCCAATATGTGTTATAAAGAGCTGTCATCTTTGACCTGATTTCTAGAAATAAAGTCAAAGAATTTGCTTAAAAGAATGATGTAGTCGTTCAAATAAAACGGGCTGAAAAAGTCGTGCGAATGGATCCAGATAATCGAAGCATTCGAAACGATTCTTAAATTCTTCGTACGGGTTCCATTTCTTTTTGAACGTGGGAAAAACAGCTACTCTAAACAATTCACAAGCATTGTCAGACCAAAATTTGACGAGACAAAATCGGAAGAAAAAGATCAAGAAGAACGTTTTACTGTTCCAGTCTTCACATGCTATACGCTTTGTTGCCTTTGTATCTCACCTGTAAACAAGCTATTTTTCAACAACAGCTACTGTAAAGTTGAGGAACAGCAGTGGGTCTTCAATTATAAAGGGCGAATAGCTTTCTTCTATGGATGATGCCCGACTCTTATTTTATTGCTAAGCAGAAGAAGAAAATAATTCCATAATTAATGCGAGCTCATTTTTATTTTGGCAGTATACAGTCGAAGATTGACAACTTCGTTTCCTCCTGCTAAAGCTGGTCGGATACGAAAACAGTCCCACCTTCTGTAATCTGGGAGCATATGTCAATCAGAGAATCAGAGAAAAATTTGGCGAAAAACTGAAACCACGTATCTAGTTATGTCGAGAAGACTCTGTAGCTTGAATCTATAGCCGCTACGGTACGAACAGTGAGCAAAAAATCCGACATGGTAACAAAGTAACGAAGCATTGAAAAAGGTTATACGCTTTTAAAACACCGTGAATTATTGGCTTGTGTGGTTGTTTGTAACTCGTTTGAGACAACTTGGTTCCTTAAAGAGCTTCAACTATTGCTAATCGACACACCGACACAGCGGCAAAAAGGGTGCACTTGCTTCCATTTCGTTGCTAATGATCATTACAACGTTGCACATGCGCCAACGTCTGACCTCGGTGTCTCCGCTGTCGCAGCTGTGTCGATTACAATTTAGGCTTGGTTGCTCAGGGTGACTGAAGCCAAACAATATGGCGGCTACAATACGCAAATAATAATTCGCGCGAATCATCGGTGGCTAGTGTTGTCAATGATAGATAATAACCTTATGTTTTATGACCGATGGGAAGTGGAGCCTCTAAGACAACAGGAAAGGCAATAGAAACCCATGCAAGGTCAATTGAGATTATATACCACTCTGAAGAGCGTCGCAATAAACTTTCCCAAGATGCAAAATCCGCCAACGGAAATGTGAAAGATGAATGTGACGCGACCACCAGAGAAGGAAAACCCGTGACTGATCGTTTTTCTGCAGAAAATGAACAGATGACCAAAGATGATGGCGACGAAAAGATACTCATATCTTCGCTCTGCGAAAATGATCCTCAACTTGAAACACGATTGAGTTCCACGAACAGGCATTACCAGTCCTTGAATAAAGCTTTTCACGATGGAAATCTTTTGACAGAACCGTTACTTGAACATGCTAAAGCTTTAATTGATGTTTACTCAAAGTGCAGGAAAAGATCAAACAAAACTGTTGTGACAGATTTTGCTTTGGCTGTGGGAATACATAAACTTGTTTACGATATAATTGTTGATCGTAGAAGTAATTACCCAGAGATAACAACTTGGGATAGGAATGTTCGCAAGGATACGGAGAAAGAAGAACAAGGCAATCAGGAGGAGGCAAATGACAACACTCTTGTCGGTGATGAAAACAAGGTGAATTAAGAACTATGAAATAAATAATGGCTAAGAAGTTGACAACCTAGTTCAGGGAATTTATTTAATATAGTAACAATGTTATTTTAAGAAAGGGCAAAACAGTCAGGTTACTAATATGTGCTTGATCAAAGTTACCCCTTACACATGCCATAAGGGTGATCTTCCATTTGTGTAGAAGACAACAATCTAAAAACTAGAGTTGCTTAATTAAAACAAGTATTAGCTTTGTAAATTCTATGCTCTGAACTATAGTTTTGTATTCTCCATTTTTCACCTTTTTTATATACAACATGCTTTTTTTATGTCTTTTGGCAAATTAAATGACTTAATTATTTAACCAAGAAATTGAAGTTATGTACAGTTTATTGGCATATTTTTATTCCTGCCTACAAATTATTCATGTTGGATTGGTCAGCTCAGTTTTGCAGGACAGACTCATACATATATGTAAATATGTTTCTCTGGTGTTATCAAATTACTTTCTAGAACCTTGACAGAACCTTGCCAGATGTTCAACCAGTTAAAGAAGGAGGGATCCAAGGGAAAACTCATGGGACAGGGAATAGTGACCCTCCAGCAAGTACCAAGGATGAGGTCAGCTTATCACCTCCTCTACTGCTATGTGATGTTTTGATCAAAATTCACTTGAGTACTGTCATTGATGACTAAAAATATCCCTGTAAGCATGGTTTGCTGTAATACAGAGGTCCAGTGTAAGTTGTAGGCTGATCTGGCTGATGTTACTCTCAATCAGGATCAGGAAGCAAATGATGTAAATGATCAGAAACCACCAGGAGGAGATGAAATCCCAAAGGCAGTTCAAGAGGGTGAAAATGAGGAGGAGAAAGCTGTGAGTACCGATAGAAAGAACAGGGAGGATTTTTAACATTATCATTTATTATTAAAATGCATGTAATAATAATTGATATGCTGATCGATATACAGCTGTTAGTAGTAGATATAGAATTCTTGTGTTGACTGTCACTGAGTAATAATTAATTCTAGAACAATTGTTTAATTATCATAGAGTATAAATTAAAATATTGAAATGTTTCAAAGAAAGATAGGTGATGAAAGATTTCCCTGTAGGCAGGCAATGCAGCAAAAAGCAAACAAAGAAACACAATATCACAGTCAGGATTCAGTTGTCTGGTGCAATTTTATGTCAGTAAAAAGTCTCACAATGATTTAGAAGTGATCAAACTGTTTCTGTTATACATTTTTTTTAGCCTTTTTAATGTTGATAAATTCCATGGGACTTTGTGTCTTTTGGGATATGATGTGATGTGTAATTTTATGATATTCAATCTAAAATTATATTATTGTATAGTATATTGTATAAAATATATTATATTATATTGTATAATATATATTATATTATATTGTATAATGTAGTATAAAAAATGCCTTTGGCTAAAAATAACATAATACCTAACACTGAAGAAATGTGTATCTTAATTGAGTTTTTTTCCCAGTGCATCGTCATATAATACTTTATATGATTCATGAACCTAATTTTTTACTCATCAATTGCAAAAATTATTAACAGTCAGAAGAGGATGAAGAAAAAGTGGCAGCACTGAAGATGTCACAGGACATTATAAACCATCTGCTAGCAGTAATAATGAACTTTACTGACCTCCACGATTCATTCTGCCTGGCATGCAGTGATCTGGGGATGGTTCAAATTCTCATTGACATGACAAAAGATCTACAAGATACAATAAGTTATCATGTAAAATATGTGGTAAGTCTCATCAACTCATGTATGTGTTTTAAATCTCTTCGAGACTTATTGCATGAGCACTTTTGTTTTTCCTTTTTTATTCCATGTAATATGAACCTTTAACACTCAAAAGTGATCAACATGTAACTTCTTATATTATCAATACAGTAACCAACAAGCAGGCAATTATAATACTCAAACTTATCAGATAGAAGTTGTTATCTTGATCTAACACCAATATCTTGTAACTGATTACAGCAAGAGGTGAAAATTAGCCATCAGATCTCTAGAATTATAGGGGTTAAGGTATTGAGCATTCCCAGAAAGTATAGACATGGCAGAGCTGTTTGTAAATGCTGGCAGCAAGGAAATCTGTAAGACAGGTATTTTTTTGAGTATGTCTGTCTGGCAAGTGGAGACATATATGGTAAATGAAAGGGGTAAGACTTGTCCTTTGCATTCACCGCACACTTACGTTGAAATCCCTCACCTGAAAAATGACAAAAAGAAAAAAATTCAAACTCCTTGTGCTTGTTAGCAGCCTGGAATACCCACCTGTTGCTTACACTTTATCAGCCAACTGTCTATTTGTTCACTTTTTGGTTTATTTGTGTGTTTGTTTATTTTATCTTGAAATCAACAGAATCCCAAAACCCAGTACTTATCTAAGTACTCATCACGAGGAAAAATGCTAAACAGGACGTTGGGAGTCCTACATAACTTGTCTAAACGTGTGCCCACCAGGATGAACTTTGCTGCTTGTCAGGCATTGGATATACTTATTCCTCTTCTCAAGGCAGAGGTGGCACTTTTTGGTGCTAAGAGCCTACTTGTATTGGCCTGTTTGATTGATGAAGATAACAATCATTTGATCATGGCTGACGAAGGTATATATATACGTGGGATTAAGAGTTGATTCATTTTTTGCCTTAAAATGCAGACTCTTTTTCCATATCCCTTTGCCTGTGCCGCTGACTGGGTGTCAAATGACACTTCAGTTTACGCATCCAGGTACCTTCGCCCAACCCTATACCATCTGACCTCGATTATCCGGACTCGTGGGGACTGGGCTGAATCGTCCTGATAAACGAGAGTCCGGATAATCGAAAATTTTAAAATAAATCAACCAAAAATTAAACAAAATAGATATTACTTAATCAACATTACGCAAGAATTATGGAGACTCTCAAATCTTTTATGCATCATTACCAAAATTTGCCAAAGTATTTACAAAAAGCTGCACTAATGGAATAGCGTTAACATTGATTCAGTACATGTGCTTTGTATGGTGGGAAAAAGTTGTTACGGATCTCGATTGTGACTAATTTATATTCATAAAAATGGGACCATAGAAACGAATCCCGTTAATTGAAAAATCCGGATAATCGAGGCCTGGATCATCGAATTTCAGCCAGGTAATAGCATATTCTATGTTGGAGAAAAAAAACAGAAATTATAATGAGACTTTTTACAGCACTATCCTCTGACCATTTCTTGTCTTGTGTCCACTTGGTTGATCCTGTGATGGAAAGAAAAAGCAAAGTCATTATTAAATGAAACAAGCCGTATTTTGGCCTGCAGGTGACTTTTTTTCCCCTTTTTTGTGAAGGATTTAGACTACGAACAATCCTTCCTTTTGGGACAAGTCCTTCGCGCGAAAAATCAATGACTTATGCGACGGACTTCGCCGAAAAGCAGGGACTGCAGGTGGTCTGTAAACGAGTAGTATTAGACTAGGCCTCCTTCCCTGATATTTTAACAAGCTTGATTTGTTCTAAATTTAAGATTCAACACCATGGTATGGCAAGAACTTTTCCTTTGCTCCGAAAGGCTACGAAACAACTTCATTCACAAAACGACCATATCTTTTCTTTTCTTTCAGGACCAATCAAATTTCTTACAACTATACTGAAGAAAGCCATCGGATCAACCACTCACAGATATTTGGGACTCTCAGCATCGGAGCTAGCAGAGGGACTGGCGCAAATTGCTGTTAACGATAATAACAAGAAAACGGTATTGATTTTGACGTTCAATTGCAAAATAATCACGGGTCAGTTACCCTAGTTTTATGTAAGGGAAATTCAGCTAAATTCATAATGATCAATTTAAGGAAAGTCACGAATTGATAATTCTATAATGGAAGAAAATTCCCCGATTTTCTAATTATCGATATTGAGTGTTATAATTTTACAGTTATTAAATCAAATAGCCACATTTATGTAACGCCGTATCTAAACGACGCAGGATGTTTTGCCTTTTTTTCTACTTTTTTGTTTGGGCTCGATTGTTTTGCCAGCGTTTTGTGCAGTACATTGTAGACTCCCACGAAACATCTTTTCTATCAATCATGAAAACTCTAGAAAACATATACCTCAGCAGTGGTTCCAATAACAACCGTTTAGCAGCGGTCTACCGCGGCCCATAAGACTTCTTGCTGCCTTCTATTTACTCGGTTTCGTCTTAAAGCCCCTTTTCGGGCACAGACGTCATCGGTATATACAACACCATCGGTAGCCGCTGAGGGAAAAAGTTATTTCAACTCTTGCCTCGGTATGGCTTAACTTGAAAACATTCAGGGAAAGCATGCGCACGCCTTTAAATTCGAGTTGGTGTTAATTCCTAATAAGATAAACTGTACATCTCACTTCATCCGTGCTCTAGATTGGCCAATGCGAAGCTGTTCCAATCCTGGTTAAAATGCTTCAAAATGCAAAGGGGAATGAGGAGAGACTGAATGCTTGTAATACACTTTGGACGTTAGCTTTTGACGAGGAAAATAGGCAGATGATTAGGAGTGATGATTACGCACTTTTTGAGCTGCGCAAACTTCTGACCACAAGTGAGGATAGTGAGATAAAGAGGGCTGCCGCTGGTGCATTGTGGGAATGCGAAGGCAAAGAAAAACACGCTGAAGAGAAACAGCAAACAGTCACATTGGAGCAAATATCAGGTTCGTATTCGCCCAAACAGTCAGTCTCTACTATAGCTTCACAAATGATATAAGTTTCACCAGCCTTTCTCACGCTGAAATACAAAAAAGTCCTGAACCTATACCATAGCATGTGTATACCTATACTAACAGCATTTTTTTTTATTTAACTGTCATTTTATGAGCGCACTTAAAGATTCTAACTTTTCTTTGTCACATTAAACTGGGTGTTGTTGTGTGGCTAAGCCAATCAATACTCTTAGGTCTACTGAAAACAATAGTCCTGCCCATTTAGGAAACCTCAGTAATATCTGAATGATAAGAGTACCTGTTTGTGGTAAATTATGACTTTTTTGTAATTTCGTTTTAAATTTTCTAGAAGCGAAGCACGTGATGATCAGTTACCAATGGGATGTACAAAAACTCGTGATTCAGATCAAAAACAAACTTCAGGCGGACGGCTTCAAGGTTTGGATGGACATCGATGAAATGGGTGGCTCTACTCTGGAAAGTATGGCCAAGGCTGTGGAAAATGCAAGTGTGGTGTTAGTCTGTGTGTCTCAGAAATACAAGGAGAGTCCTAACTGTAGATCAGGTAATGAAATTTTGGAAGTCAACTCATGATTCTTCTTGTGAGGCTGTCATCAGAAACTATAATCTAGAATAATAACCTACTTCTTAAATTATGAAAAAGAGAATTGTCATCTCGCCCCCGGAATGCCAAATCATCACGGTATCATGGTAAATAGATTGATGTGTTGGATCAAACTTTCCACTCAGCTGTTGTTTCTTTGCTCATTCTTTAATACGATACGTTACCTTAGTAATATTTTGATAACATATGAATATTTTATTTTGTCGAACTTATTTAGAGGCAGAATACACATATCAGCTACACAAAGATGTCATCTCTCTGATGATGGATGGTAAATACAGACCTGATGGTTGGCTCGGCTTCATTGTGGGATCCAAATTCTGGATTGACTTTAGTGAGAAACATAAACTGGACTCTAGCCTGGACACACTCATAAGGGAACTGGGGAATAGAGGAAAATTTGAGCCGCAGGAACCTATTGGTCAAGGCACAGGAATTAAACCAGGTATAGTGGTGTGGGCGTTAATCTGGAAGACAGGGACTGGAAACGAGTGGGAATAACTCCAAAATAGTGTATATGTATTGTCAAAACTACTTTGGAAAATTGGACTGATGAAACAGGAAAAGTATCACAAAATCTGTTAGTGGTGGCTAAAAAATTAACGTTTATCAAGGGAGGGGAGGGGGGAGAGGAAGGGGATGCGAGGAAAGGTGAGGGAGGCTGACAATGTAGCCGACATTTTTCTCAAATTTTAATGAATTAAATAATTTATTTTCAAGTATATCATTTTCAATGGAGACCTTTTGTATCCTTTTTCTTTTGGATTGATTAGGACCCTTATTATGGTTATCTATGCTCACAAACAATCATTTGATTACTAGTCGTGATGATTTAACTCTTATTTTATAACAGTCGCAATTGCGGATAGTGTTGATGCCACGCCCCAGACCTCCATCAAATCGTGGACATGTGGCGATGTTAAAAAGTGGCTCAATGAAGTTGGACTGGAAAACAGGTTAGAATCTGAATTACAAAATAGTTTTTTTTCACTTACTGCTTTGGGGCTTATGAGTTTTTCGTCTGCTTGTCAATAGGCCTTAATATTCAAAATCGCTCGTGCTTCATCGCTTGAATTTAGGAATGCATGGAACCCCAGCTTTTTATATTCAAGCATTTTCACTAAAGCATTAGTTCTGCGTATTTTATCGGGGCAAACTATAAAAAAGGCGTTAAATAGAAGCAAGAATACGAGAAAGAAACTCCAGCGCGCTATCGGCCTAAATGTGTAATATCGAAATCCCAAATCTAAAATACTCTTGTCGGTAGGTGATTTAAGTGCGTCAGCTGTTAGAGTTGTTTGGAAGTTTTCTGCTGAAGTAGAATGAAGAGAAGCGTGCCATTAATTAATCCTTCGTTCGTGAATCTTCTTTCAATTTTAATTTCTTTCTCTCAATTAATCTCGCAGATTGGATCCAAAGGCTGTCCAGCGACTAGATGGTCAGATGTTGCTTCGTCTTCAAGGTCTCAGAAAAGAGGTGTGTCCTTTTCACTGTTCTTCTTGTCTGAACATACGCCATCTATTGATAAGATAATGAAAGCCTCAGTAAACGAGGTAAAGAACTAACAAAACGCAACCTCTCCTTCAACTGACGAAAAATAAGTTATGTCCACACGACGCACTTCTCCCTAAAGAAACTTGAGTAACCAAGGGATAATGTATAAAGGGGATAAATTTCTAAATAAACTGTAGTAATTTGGTATCAGTTGAGTTGACAACGTAAATTGGCCACCGTAAAGAGTTGGAAGATGACGTTTCGAGCGTTAGCCCTTCGTCAGAGTGAACGGACATGTTCCTGAGTTCGCTCGTGACAAATCCACTGCGGATTTCCTTTTCGTAGGAAAACACGTCGCACTGAAAAGAGTCGCGTCCGGGTTTTTTGTTGTGCCATCACACGTTTAAATTTCATAGGATTCAGTAAAGAGCCATATCGAAAGTAATCGGGGACTTGGTTGGTTTCTGCCTCATTATACTTCGTGATTGGTCCAGAACACTTGAACACGGGTGCAGAACACTTAGCAGGTAATTTAGTGTTAACAACTGGGTTGAAAACGTAAATTAGCCACCGTAAAGAGTAAAAAAGCTGACGTTTCGAGCGTTAGCCCTTCGTCAGTCGAAACGTCAGCTTTTTTACTCTTTACGGTGGCTAATTTACGTTTTCAACCCAGTTGTTAACACTAAATTACCTGCTATACTCTCCCACCGACGCAGCACCACAGTTTCTTTAGAAACTTACCCCTTTATTCATTTGCAGAACACTTAACCAATCAGATGCAAAACTGAACCAACTACTCTTTAGTTACTTCTGTTCTTTAGGTATACTTTCTTTCAGTTCTCTTAACCTTTGAAGGTCATCTTCTGGCTTGATCAGCCATTGTGATAAATCTAGTTTTAATTTACGATACTTAATCGAAAAGCGCTTCTTAAGGGAATGTCTTCCCTTGTTTGACAACAAGTTCTGATATTGTAATGCAAACTTTCTTTTTGGGTTAGTTTCATTTCTTTTCTCTTGCTCTGTAGAGTACATTTTCGATTTGTATGCAGCCTACTGCAACGCAGTTGCACAAGATAGGACTCTAATTCTATTTTCTTTAGATCTCACTGCGAAGTTTTCTCTTTGTTGCAGACAAGCCCGGATTTCTTTTACGCATCAGTTAAAGCAGAGTTCAAACTGGAAAGTTTATTTGATTTGTTAAAGTTCACAGATGCACTGGAAAAACTGGATGCACAGATTTGCTGTCGACATGCTTCCGTTTACAGGAGATTTACCCATGGAGTAATGTGTCTGCGACTAATACATCATAGATCGTCATAAATACCTTTTCTGACGGATAGTTGATGTTGTGCAAGAAGTCTGAAACCCGACTATGTTTCGGTCGCACAGTTTAGCTATGGGACCTCTCCAATCGAGCACACCGCGCCATTAGTGTTGACCCGAGAATTTGGGGCGGTAATTGGTCGTTAAACTCCCGGGAAAACTTTAAACAAACAATCACATAAAGTATGAAATGTTTCGTGTCTTGTCCAACCAAACAAGCACTTATTCAAGAGAAAAATGTCACGGGTGCAGAAGTTGGCTAAAGATGCGGAATTACCAAATTATAAGTATGGTTTTGATACTGAATAAATGAATAAATACAGAAAGAGAGAAAGCAAAACGAGGACATTTCTTTTGTCAAAACTGCCCCTCAAATTTCTGCACTCCGTAAATGTGATGATTTTAGCAAACATCACACCATGAAGCTTTTAGAAGGAAGCAACCGTAGCTCGAGTTACGCTGAGGCGAACGTGTTTTTTCTGCTATAACATTTTTGCGTTATAGGGATAAGGTTACACAATTGCAGAAGCAATTGAGAGGGCAAGCGAAAAAAGCGGCGTTTGCAGCTGTGAAGGAAACGATTGCAGAACGTCGATTTTTTTTCTTTGCCTGACCCGTCGCCTTAGCGCACTCAGCACAGGCCAGAATTCTTTTAATTTTAATTCATATTTTCACTGAATTTTCTGAGAAAAAGAAAATATATATATTAACGTCGTTATGATAGGTGGACTAGGCAGCTTTTCAGTGATATGTATTTATTATTTACAGTTGTCAATTATATATCCCAGTGTTATTTTTTAGTCAAATTGACTATTTAAGCAACCTGTGCGTTTTTGACATGCAAACAGGTTATTTTTTAACTTACAAGTTTTACTAAAAATCTCCAAAACTAAATTGTTAAGTTTAAAAATAAGTACCTCCTTTCATACTGAATGTACAATAGAGAGAGGCGATGTGTTTTTTCTGTATAGACCATTAGAAAAGTTATAGAAGATGCAAGAATATTGCTCTTTGCATTTAAGGAGGAAATCTCATTGTTTGTTTGTTTGTTTTATTTGTCCTTGAGCAGCTTTTGTCAGTCCGTGGGCATGTATTTTTTTCCAATAATCTACGAGAAACCCACCCACCCGCGGTCTGCGGGGCCCAAAACCGCAGACCGCCAGCAACGCAGGCTACATTAGGACCCATTTTCTTGCCCTCTTTCCTCCCTTCCCCCCCACCATACTCTTTTCTTGATAGGCCTTTCATAGGCATTTCCTCCCTCCCCTCCCTCTGAATCAAGATGAGTGCCTGTTGCCCTCGCCTGAGCAAGTTTGTTGCTAAGATCAGGAGCCTATTACTTGGTGATGTGATAGGCTCCTGCTATGATGTGATATTGTGCTCATCTGACATTTTGCTGGTTTACTATGTAAACCTCGTGTGGTTATTGATTGATGGGGTCAGGAAGAAGTAATCTGGTAAAGGCATATTAGACAATACATCATCTGAAACTTGCATACTAATTTAATCCCTATTGTTTTTCTCGTATGCTAATTTCTAACGTTCACAAAAGCATAATTGTTATGAACTCTCTAGACACACGCTTTTCCAAGAATGTTTTTGAAGCCGTTCAAAAAACTCGCAGCACGTGTTTTATCGGGTCAAAAACCACTCGGCTACGCCTTGTGGTTTTAAACCCGACAAAACACTCCTACTCGTTTTTTAAACATTACTTAAGTATCTGGAATAAAGTGCGCCTAAATTCTGGGATTCTGAACGGATAAATTATCACGTTCACAAATGAATTGCTAAACTGTAAAATTTTGATAACAAAAAATGCGAGTTCAATATGGTGAAAATTTTCCATGACTTTCAATTGCAACAAAGTATTTATAATTTGAAAAGAAGCCAGGAAAAAAGCGATGTTCCAGTTATGAGAGCTAGTGTCTTCGCCAATTTCACTTCTCTTTTGATATGATTCTGGCTGCGAAATGGCGTTTTCTGCTTCTTCCAAACGACAAAGTTTGCTACACATATAGTTATTAGGGGGATTCCAGGAGTTAAAACGAGAAAATACAAGAAATACTCCTTCCCTATCATATTATGTATCGCTAACAACATTGAAGTGATAAATATTGCTGCTGTGATCCACGGTATGCTAATAGCGCAGATGTAAACACGATAGTTCACAGTTCTGTGGCGAAGAGGCCAACCGACGGCGAACATTCTTTCCAAGGAAATGACAGCAAGAGTATAGATGGACGTTATCCCAGTGAAAACGTCAGCAACCATGGAGATAAGGAACCATGCATATCCCTGTGATACAACTGCTTTTATATAAAAAGGGACAGCAAAAATCCCAACCAACAAGTCGGCAACAGCCAAGCTTATTAGAAGAGAATAAGAGCGTTTTTGGCGTCTCTGTTTGAAGAATATCCAGATGGTGAGAATATTTCCTGCAATAATCAAAGTCACCAATACACCAAAACATATACCCCAGAAGATGTTCCATGAGTTAAAATCCATTTTGCTGGGCTCTGTTTTTCTTTTGATCTGTCATGAAAACAAACCTTTGCCATTAAATCTGAACGGTAGAAAATTTGTGGGAGCAAAAATACCTTGGTAAACGAGCATTTAGTATTTTTTTAAACGAAACTCTTTAGTGTAATTTAGAATCAAGTTTGAAATGCTTTTTACATCGTTAAACAGAGAAATCAAACTGTCCTAAAACAAGAAATGTTAAGTTCAGTCGGGTGACGGTCCCCGTAGGGGTGAAAGTGTTCAAATCAGACTGCTGTAACATGTCTCCAGCTCTGATGAAGGGCTAACGTTGGAAAAGTCGGATTTAGAAACTTTTTATTGTGGCCAGTTTCCATGATCAATTAAATTGAGTGGTTAACTGTAAATTATCTTACTAGAACATGATAATGTTTACAGCTCAGGAAATCCAATCTTAGCGGAGGTTCGACATAAAAAAAAAAACAACAACAAAAAAAAACATCGGAAGCCCTCTTTATTCCTATTTATACAAATGGTTATCCATGGTAAGTGGTTGGATCGTTGTTCGTTTCCAATCGCTTTTAAGGACCCACTAACTCACTGGTGACGGTAGTTTCCTTATTTTCAAATGTTGAAACGACCAGGGGACGAGACATCTGTCAGAACCAATTTGTCTCACAAAAGTTATACAAAAACACACAAACCAGTAAGTCACAATGTTCAACACGACTTCTTCGCTCTTAACTAAGTTAAGAGCCTACACAATTTTGGTTTCTGATAAAATTTAAAACACAAAGTTTTCATTTTTACAATGTAATTTGTTTCAACATGACACCGGTAGTTTCTTATAATTTCCACTGGGCTTTTTCCCCGGAAAGTAGAACGCGGTTGGCGCCAGAAACTGACCCCATTTGCACGTGCCTTAGTTTCGACCTCTGTGTTGTTCCAAATAGCACTATATACTTTTACATTTTTTCTCTATGAGGAAAAAAAGGAGTATAATGAAGCTGTCAACTTCAAGGCTTCTCTCGAAGTGGATCTCATTAACGTCTAATTCCTTTAAGCATCACGCAAGTTTTATTATTAATACAAATACACCAGTTTGCTTTTCTAGAACATACACATTCTTGAACAAGAAAATACTTTGAATTTTGATTACTCATTCTTCATCTGCTTACCTTTTGTAGAATGGTTAAAATGTAAGATCTTCTGGGTGTATTCTTGACTCTGGTGCAGCAGGGAACTGTCGAACTGAGCCGACTGTAAAACGAAACTGAGAAAAGTAAACTGTGTGGATAATGTTCGCTTTGGGAAAATTCAAGGGGGCGTCAATAGAATTGATTGCTATGCTTATAGATGTGAACAAGCTGTCACTTCTTTACAATAGCGTGCTCAATTATTGACTTAATGCGGAGGCTATTAAAACGTCATGTTAAATATAGGCTCTTTTAATTTGTCCAGCTGTTTTTTGTCAGCTACTATGGTTTTTAGAGGGGGGGGGTGGGGGGAATGGGGGTGGAAAAAATTTAAAAGAAAACAAACTTTCGTCGGAATTTCACAATAGGAGAAAATTAACAAGTTGATGCCAATATGTGTTATAAAGAGCTGTCATCTTTGACCTGATTTCTAGAAATAAAGTCAAAGAATTTGCTTAAAAGAATGATGTAGTCGTTCAAATAAAACGGGCTGAAAAAGTCGTGCGAATGGATCCAGATAATCGAAGCATTCGAAACGATTCTTAAATTCTTCGTACGGGTTCCATTTCTTTTTGAACGTGGGAAAAACAGCTACTCTAAACAATTCACAAGCATTGTCAGACCAAAATTTGACGAGACAAAGTCGGAAGAAAAAGATCAAGAAGAACGTTTTACTGTTCCAGTCTTCACATGCTATACGCTTTGTTGCCTTTGTACCTCACCTGTAAACAAGCTATTTTTCAACAACAGCTACTGTAAAGTTGAGGAACAGCAGTGGGTCTTCAATTATAAAGGGCGAATAGCTTTCTTCTATGGATGATGCCCGACTCTTATTTTATTGCTAAGCAGAAGAAGAAAATAATTCCATAATTAATGCGAGCTCATTTTTATTTTGGCAGTACAGTCGAAGATTGACAACTTTGTTTCCTCCTGCTAAAGCTGGTCGGATACGAAAACAGTCCCACCTTCTAGATGTATCTGGGAGCATATGTCAAGCAAGAATCACAGAAAAATTTGGCGAAAAACTGAAACCACGTTTCTAGTTATGTTGAGAAGACTCTGTAGCTTGAATCTATAGCCGCTACGGTACGAACGGTGAGCAAAAAATCCGACATGGTAACAAAGTAACGAAGCATTGAAAAAGGTTATACGCTTTTAAAACACCGTGAATTATTGGCTTGTGTGGTTGTTTGTAACTCGTTTGAGACCGCTTGGTTCCTTAAAAAAGGGTACACTTGTTTCCATTTCGTTGCTTATGATCATTACAACGTTAAACATGCGCAAACGTCTGACCTCGGTGTCTTCACTGTCGCAGCTGTGTCGATTACAATTTAGGCTTGGTTGCTCAGGGTGACTGAAGCCAAACAATATGGCGGCTACAATACGCAAATAATAATTCGCGCGAATCATCAGTGTCTAGTGTTCTCAATGATAGATAATAACCTTATGTTTTATGACCGATGGGAAGTGGAGCCTCTAAGACAACAGGAAAGGCAATAGAAACCCATGCAAGGTCAATTGAGATTATATACCACTCTGAAGAGCGTCGCAATAAACTTTCCCAAGATGCAAAATCCGCCAACGGAAATGTGAAAGATGAATGTGACGCGACCACCAGAGAAGGAAAACCCGTGACTGATCGTTTTTCTGCAGAAAATGAACAGATGACCAAAGATGTTGGCGACGAAGAGATACTCATATCTTCGTTCTGCGAAAATGATCCTCAACTTGAAATACGATTGAGTTCCACGAACAGGCATTACCAGTCCTTGAATAAAGCTTTTCACGATGGAAATCTTTTGACAGAACCGTTACTTGAACATGCTAAAGCTTTAATTGATGTTTACTCAAAGTGCAGGAAAAGATCAAACAAAACTGTTGTGACAGATTTTGCTTTGGCTGTGGGAATACATAAACTTGTTTACGATATAATTGTTGATCGTAGAAGTAATTACCCAGAGATAACAACTTGGGATAGGAATGTTCGCAAGGATACGGAGAAAGAAGAACAAGGCAATCAGGAGGAGGCAAATGACAACACTCTTGTCGGTGATGAAAACAAGGTGAATTAAGAACTATGAAATAAATAATGGCTAAGAAGTTGACAACCTAGTTCAGGGAATTTATTTAATATAGTAACAATGTTATTTTAAGAAAGGGCAAAACAGTCAGGTTACTAATATGTGCTTGATCAAAGTTACCCCTTACACATGCCATAAGGGTGATCTTCCATTTGTGTAGAAGACAACAATCTAAAAACTAGAGTTGCTTAATTTATTTTCACTACTACAAGTAAGGTTTGTAAATTCTATGCTCTGAACTATAGTTTTGTATTCTCCATTTTTCATCTTTTTTATATACGACATGCTTTTTTTATGTCTTTTGGCAAATTAAATGACTTAATTATTTAACCAAGAAATTGAAGTTATGTACAGTTTATTGGCATATTTTTATTCCTGCCTACAAATTATTCATGTTGGATTGGTCAGCTCAGTTTTGCAGGACAGACTCATACATATATGTAAATATGTTTCTCTGGTGTTATCAAATTACTTTCTAGAACCTTGACAGAACCTTGCCAGATGTTCAACCAGTTAAAGAAGGAGGGATCCAAGGGAAAACTCATGGGACAGGGAATAGTGACCCCCCAGCAAGTACCAAGGATGAGGTCAGCTTATCACCTCCTCTACTGCTATGTGATGTTTTGATCAAAATTCACTTGAGTACTGTCATTGATGACTAAAAATATCCCTGTAAGCATGGTTTGCTGTAATACAGAGGTCCAGTGTAAGTTGTAGGCTGATCTGGCTGATGTTACTCTCAATCAGGATCAGGAAGCAAATGATGTAAATGATCAGAAACCACCAGGAGGAGATGAAATCCCAAAGGCAGTTCAAGAGGGTGAAAATGAGGAGGAGAAAGCTGTGAGTACCGATAGAAAGTACAGGGAGGATTTTTAACATTATCATTTATTATTAAAATGCATGTAATAATAATTGATATGCTGATCGATATACAGCTGTTAGTAGTAGATATAGAATTCTTGTGTTGACTGTCACTGAGTAATAATTAATTCTAGAACAATTGTTTAATTATCATAGAGTATAAATTAAAATATTGAAATGTTTCAAAGAAAGATATATAATGAAAGATTTCCCTGTAGGCAGGCAATGCAGCAAAATGCAAACAAGGAAACAAAATATCACTGTCAGGACTCAGTTTTCTGGTGCAATTTTATGTCAGTAAAAATTCTCACAATGATTTAGAAGTGATCAAACTATTTCTGTTATACATTTTTTTTAGCCTTTTTAATGTTGATAAGTTCCATGGGACTTTGTGCCTTTTGGGATATGATGTGATGTGTAATTTTATGATATTCAATCTAAAATTATATTATTGTATAGTATATTGTATAATATATATTATATTATATTATATTATATTATATTATATTATATTATATTATATTATATTATATTGTATAATATAGTATAAAAAATGCCTTTGGCTAAAATAACATAATACCTAACACTGAAGAAATGTGTATCTTAATTGAGTTTTTTTCCCAGTGCATCATCATATCATACTTTATCTGATTCATGAACCTAATTTTTTACTCATCAATTGCAAAAATTATTAACAGTCAGAAGAGGATGAAGAAAAGGTGGCAGCACTGAAGATGTCACAGGACATTATAAACCATCTGCTAGCAGTAATAATGAACTTTACTGACCTCCATGATTCATTCTGCCTGGCATGCAGTGATCTGGGGATGGTTCAAATTCTCATTGACATGACAAAAGATCTACAAGATACAATAAGTTATCATGT